TTGTTACATCGCACCCTGACTGGCTCATCTCCTCCCCGAGACCCCTCTGCAAGGTATTGCATTGCTTCTATGCAAAGTGAGTTTCTGCATTTAAATCCTTGGAAGCCAGTCAGGGGCAGCCGGATTTGCCATTTGCAGTGCAAGGATCCAAACTACTTTTACCCAAAAATGGACCGCTGACCCTTCCAAGGAGATGCCACTGGGTGCACTAACTTGGAGTGAGTCTCTTGATGCTCGCCTAGCCAGGAGTGGGGGGTGGGGGAGAAATGTGCACTGTGAAAGCTCCATGCCCCCAGGGCAATTCTGGGTTTGGGGGGCACTCCTTTGTATTGTTATACACCAGAGAATACCTGTGCTTCAGTGCTATGTTTTGTTTTTCTTGATTGTGTTAAGATGTACAAGGGGGGTTCAAAAAGGTAATGGAATGGAAAGATAATGCAGTTTTTCCACAAACACTCTGAGGCCCTCTCAGAACAACAAAATCATTTTAACCATTTTAAATGATTAAAATGATTCAATGACATTAGTTATAGTCACAATGTTGTGCTACCACTATCACCGCCATTTCTAAAACTTTCTCATCACCCCATATAGAAACTCAATAGCCTTTAAAAAAGAACTTCCCATTTCCTCCTACTTTAACCATCAATAAACATTTGCCTCATTCTCGATATTTTACTTAAATGAGATCATAGAATGTTTGTCCTTTTGTGTCTGACTTATTCCACTTGGCCTAAACTTAGTTCCTTAGGAAAAAGTATTTACTTGGTGATATTGAAACATTTGGTCATTTTAGCTTGTTGCTACTTCATGGTTAACACTCAGTAATATTTGTTAAATAAGTATAGAAGCTAAATGTGTCAGCCAGAGTACATTTAGGAAATAACCTCCTTCTTTTGTAGGGTAAACCAAATCTGTTTCCAGAACCATGAAGATCTTGCTGGTTTTTGACTTTGACAATACAGTCATAGACGACAATAGTGACACCTGGATTGTGCAGTGTGCTCCGGAGAAACAGCTCCCTGTGGAGCTGAAGAACTCGTATCAGAAAGGGTATTGGACAGAATTTATGGGCCGAGTCTTCAAGTATTTGGGAGACAGAGGCGTAAGAGAAGAAGAGATGAAACGAGCAATGACCTCGATGCCTTTCACACCAGGGATGGTGGAACTTCTCAACTTTATAAGGAACAAAAAGGAGAAGTTTGACTGTATCATTATTTCAGATTCCAACTCAGTCTTCATAGATTGGATTTTAAAAGCTGCCAATTTTCACAGTGTGTTTGATAAAGTGTTTACAAATCCAGCAGCCTTTGGTTCCAATGGCCATCTCACGGTGGAAAATTATCACACTCATTCTTGTAGTAGGTGCCCAAAGAATCTTTGCAAAAAAGTCGTTTTGGTAGATTTTGTAGACAACCAGCTACAACAGGGAGTGAGTTATACACACATTGTTTACATAGGTGATGGGGCAAATGATTTCTGTCCAGTAACGTTTTTAAAGAAGAATGATGTTGCCATGCCACGGAAAGGATATGCTTTGCAGAAAATACTCTCCCAAATGCCTCAAAATCTTGAGCCTGTGGAATCCTCCGTGGTCCTGTGGTCTTCGGGTGTTGAGATAATTTCTCATTTACAATTTCTAATAAAAGAATAATATCTCAACAATTGCATTGTCTCAGTTAAGATTAGGCTCGGTGGCCTAAAATGAACAACCCCAAATGCCAGTGACTTTTTTTTAAGATCATTTTATTGGGGACTCTTCTAGCTCTTATAACAATCCATACATCAATTGTATCGAGCATATTTGTACGATGTAGCCATCATTTTCTAGACATCTTTCTATTTGAGCCATTGGTATCAGCACACCGTTTTTTCCCTCCCAACCCCCCTCCCACCCTCGTGACCCCTTGATAAATTATAAATTATTATTTACATATCTTTTACCAACTGCTGTCTCCCTCACGGTTTCTGTCATTCGTCCCTGGGGAGGGTCTGTATTGATCATTGTGATCAGTTCCTCCTGCCTCCCCTCTTTTCCCTACCTTCCCCTTTCCCTCCTGGTATTGCTACTCCCATTCCGGTTCCCAGGTTCCTAGCTCTTAGCGTACCTGTGTACATGCTCCTGTGTAGCCCTCAGTGAAAGGCAGGACTGGGGTCAAGGCAGTGGGAGGTGAGGAAGCCTCAAGCAACCAGAGGAATAGTGTGTGTTTCATCAGTGCTTTACTGCGCCCTGTTTGACTCATCCCTTCCTTGTGCCCCTTCTCTGAGGGGATGACCAGTGACTTTTTTTAAAAGGTTTTTTTCCCCTCTCACTTAAGCACTAAGTGCCCAGAGGTAAGTGTATCTAGATGCTGGTGTGTTGCTCTAGCAGCCTCAGCAGTTAGCTTCCAGTCCATAAACCGAGATTGCTGTTCAAGCTCCCGCCCTCCGGTCCACGTTGTGGGTAGCAGGAAGGAGAGCACCAGGAGGACCGCACCCCTTCTTTAAGAATACATACTGTGAGGTAGATTTGGCGACGGAAAGAAAGAAAAAAGGCAAAGCTAGAAGACAGTTTCAAAGGTTTATTTCAGAGCTTCCGGGCGAGGTTCACGGGTCCCTGATTGGGAGCCTGAGAAGTTACGCTATCAGGGAGAGTTTTATAGCCTGGGTCTGGGGAAGGAGTAGCTGGAGAATCATCCACTGCAACGTTGTTTGGCGCTAAGCAACAGGGTTCAAAATTATCTATGAGGGAAGGCCAGTGAAGGGGAGGGGGAGGCCTGGCTTCTGACTGCATCCTGTGGGTGTCTTTCCACCCCGCCTGCTCTGCCAAGTCAGGCTTCTGCCTGACACTTAAACCTGCAACTGCACCCAGCACTTCTGGTTAACTTGCACTGGCTAAAAGACAGCCTCCTACCCTGCCTGATTGCAAGAAAGGGTGGAAATACAGCTTTTACTCTCATGGTTATTTTCCCAAGTAAATTAGTGGAAGGGAGAGTACAGAATTGTAGGACCCACTAGCAGTCTGTATACTAAAGGTGGATGGTAGGTAGATTCCATTTTTAAGTTTATTTCCAGAGAGAATAGTCTTAGATTTTACTTAGATACGTATGTCCAAAGCATGCCCATTCAATAAAGATCTTAAAAATAAGATTGATGATTTATTCACTAAGAACAGAATGTGCATAATGTCCATATTTTAAAGACATTCAAAATCTGTTTCTTAGGTTTCATCCATCTCAGGCTTTACATTTAGAAATGAAATATAATGGTGTAATATTTTAAACGTAAAGGTATCACAGAAGATTACGTGGACTACGGAATTTAGTGTGCTGTGTGTAGTTGGCAAGAAGCCATTGGGGAAGCATTGGATTACTAACCACAAAATCAGTGGTTCAAATCCACCAGGTGCTCTGAGGGAGAAAAATAAGGATCTCTGCTCCAATAAAGATTTATAATCTCAAAAAACCTATATAAAGTTTTAGGCATAAGAATCAACTAAATAGCAGTGGGTTTTTAAAATAAATGAGAATGCAGTCTTCAGTGATATATCGCTTATAGAAGTGTTCAGCAGTTATTGCATAGGGATACTAGCAAAGGATCAATTGATGTAGCAAGTTTTAGAAAATGCAAATTTCTAGACTTGCCGCATTTTAAGCTTAAACACCCAATATATAGTATAATTTTCTTTTCCAAATTACGGAAAGCTTTAGAAGAAATACTTGGGATAATGGGAAAAAAGAACACTTCCTGTGTTGCTTAAAAATTATGTTGGAACACATCTACTCATAGATCCTCATTTCTTGTTGCGGCCTGGGTCATACATAAGAGGAAGACACCATGTAAAGGTCTGTCCACAGCTTGGAAATGCCAAGAGTCACCCAGGGCGTTTCCCAGTGCAGCAGAGAGCACAGTCTTGCCACCACCCTGATGTGAGCGAGTAGTGTCCAGCAGCGTGAGGAAACAGCACTGTGCTTTAAGCCATCCGCTCCGCGGTGCCTTGTTACTGCAGCCTTTCCCTTTGGAAAGCAGCAGTGGATACCGAAGTAGAGCAGAGGAGCTACCTGTCCTGAATTCACTCAGGACTCCAGGAAGTCTAATATGGCCCTGGTGTAGGTACACACAATCTATCTGGGACTGAATTTGGTGACTCCTTCTCCAGTGATTATGTAATTGTGGGGTACCAGCCCTCACAATCAAACAGGTCCAAGGTGCAGTTGTGTAATTGAGGGGTGAAATTAAAGAGACATCAGACAAGATGAGGCATGCGAATGTTCACCTCCACCTCCGGGATGGCCATGGTCTCAACTGCCAGGTCCACGCAGAGAGAGCGAATATATTTCCAATCATGGCTTATATGCACTTAGGGGATGTGCAAGCCCCACCCTAATTAAAGGTAGCCACGTGTAACTGGAAGGGGTTGTACAGTAGGCAAATGTGCAACAGGGGGACAACCTAAGTGTACACGCAATAGGAAGGGGAGGCACTAGGGGTATACATGTAACAAGATGGGTGGACTCTAGATTCAAGATGACAGCCTAAGCTTGATCCTCCTTGAGTTGGCTTGACCTTGTCTTTGGACTCTCCTTCAGGGGAACAATCCACCTTATCAGAAGGGTGTGGGACAGACTATAGGGTCTGATTGCTCTAGGTAGCTGATAAACTTCAGTGAGAAAAAAAAAACTCAGTGAGATAACCTTTAAGTACTTGACCTCCAAGTGTATAGTCATTGACCAAGTGTTAGCAAGCAGTATCTTAGGTTTGGCATATATTATAGGGGACAACCTTTCTGAATCCCACATGTAATCTAACAATCAAAACCAAACCCATTGCCATCGAGTGGGTTCCTACTCACCAGTGATGTTGTAGGACAACAGACCAGTAGCTCTTCACAGAAGCAGGCTGCTACACCTTTCTCCTGTACAGCTCTTTAACTACTGCAGCACCAGAGTTCCACTTCTGAATTAGCAAAACCCAAAACCGACTGTCATCAAGTTGACCCTGACTCACAATGACCTTGTGTAGGGTTCTGAGAGCCAATCTTGATGGAAATAGGCAACCTCATCTGAGGAGCACTGTTGGATTTGAACCACCAACCTTGCCATTAGCATACCAACACTTAGGACACTCCAAATCACACGTCCTTTGAAAGAGTTTTTTCTAAGTTTTTCTTTTCACAGCTGATTGCAGTAGAGCCCCAGTGGTATGGTGGGCTACTAACCTCCAGGTTGGCCAACCAGTAGTTCAAACCCACAAGCTGCTCTGTGGGAGCAAGATGAAACTGCTTCCAGAATGAATGACTGTTGAAATGCCCTTTGGGCAGTTCTACCCCCTCCAGGGTCAGTTTGTGTCAAAACTGACTCAACACGGTGGGGTGAGTCCTCAGCCCTATAACTAATTGCAAGGAAATTCGTTTTGTGAGTTTGGAAGAGAACCCTGAACCTCAGATGAGAACTGCCACTTAGGCTAGCATCTTGATTTCAGCCAGCCAAGAACTTGCAGGGGAACCTAGTAAGAGAAAACTAATGCCGTCCGAGAGGAAATGAAAAAGTATTACTTGCTCACACACGCACAGATGTATTCCACAGATTGTTTAAACGTGCTCTGTAATCCGTGGATGGCTGCAGACAAAGTTCTTTCTGTAATAACATCTTAAGCCTCATTAGAGCACCTTAAAGATGTTTTGATAAATCATTGTGAATGAGGGGGAGAGCAGATTGGGGACCCAAGATCCATCTGTAGACAACTGGACATCCCCTTACAGAAGGGTCCCGGGGAGGAGACCAGCCAGTCAGGGTGCAGTGTAGCAATGATGAAACATACAACTTTCCTCTAGTTCCTAAATGCTTCCTCCCCACCCCACTATCATGATCCCAATTCTACCTTACAAATCTGGCTAGACCAGAGGATGTACTGTACACTGGTACAGATAGGAACTGCAAACACAGGGAATCCAGGGTGGATGATCCCTTCAGGACCAGTGGTGAGAGTGGTGATACTGGGAAGATGGAGGGAGGGTGGAGTGGAAAGGGGGAACCAATTACAAGGATCTATATATAACTTCCTCCCTGGGGGATGGACAACAGAAAAGTGGGTGAAGGGAGATGTTGGACAGTGTAAGATATGACAAAATAATAATTTATAAATTATCATGGGTTCATGAGGGAGTGGGGAACGGGGAGGGAGGGGAAAAATGAGGAGCTGATACCAAGGACTCAAGTAGAAAGCAAATGTTTTTGAGGATGATGACAACAAATGTTCAAATGTGCTTGATACAGTGGATATATGTATGGATTGTGATAAGAGTTGTACAAGACCCCAATAAAATAATTTTTTAAATGTTTTGAAAAGGATGATGGCAACATATGTACAAATGTGCTCGACACAATGGATGTATAGGTTGTTATAAGAGCTGTAAGAAGCCCCAATAAAATGATTTTTTTTAAAGTACAATAAAAACAGTGACTGAAAAGGGACTGTGCTAGGCCAGTTAAATTCAGGACAGAAAGGTCAACTCAAGAGGTTACAACAGCTGATTTTTAGACTCCCAAGGGAGTAATCATGATAGATTTTCTCAAAATACACAAGACCATCACAGAGCCTTATAAGGAAGAAGTTTCAAGGACATTTAAAATGACATTGATGAGCAAAAGGCCAGGAAATTTGCTCCTAGGAATTTTTTACCCATCATAACAATGCATCTGCTTGTTTATTCTTCAGAGACAGTAAGGGGTGCCCTAGGAGAACTTTGTTGGAAACCTTACCCCACCCACCGTATAATCCCGTTGCCT